TTGAAATGTATTTGGCTAAGGTGTATGTAAACTTCCGACTTCAACTCTAGGTGTTCCTTTTGTCCAGGTGGGAAAGGGCAGTGTGGAGTGGGATTGAGATTGCATCAATTGTGGATCTGTTGGGGCGGTATGCGAATTGGAGTGGGTCTAGGGTTTTCAGGATGATGGTGTTGATGTGAGCCATGACCAGCCTTTCAAAGCACTTTATGGCTACCGACATGAGTGCTACCGGGCGGTAGTCATTTAGGCATGTTACCTTCGCTTCCTTGGGCACAGAGACTATGGTGGTCTGCTTGAAACATGTAGGTATTACAGACTCGGTCAGGGAGAGGTTGAAATGTCAGTGAAGACACTTGCCAGTTGGTCCGCGCATGCTCTGAGTACAGGTGCTGGTAATCCGTCTGGCCCAGCAGCCTTGTGAATGTTGACCTGTTTAAAGGTCTTGCTCACATCAGCTACGGAGAGAGTGATCACACAGTCGTCTGGAAGAGCTGGTGCTCTCATGCATGCTTCAGTGTTGCTTGCCTTGAAGCGAGCATAAAAGGCATTTAGCCCGTCTGTTAGGCTTGCGTCACCGGGAAACTTGCGGCTGGGTTTCCCTTTGTAGTCCGTAATAGTTTGCAAGCCCTGCCACATCCGACGAGCGTCAGAGCCGGTGTAGTAGGATTCAATCTTAGTCCTGAATTGACGCTTTGCCTGTTTGATGGTTTGTCTGAGGGCATAGCAGGATTTCATATAAACGTCCGGATTAGTATCCCGCTCCTTGAATGCGGCAGCTCTACCCTTTAGCTCGGTGCGGATGTTGCCTGTAATCCATGGCTTCTGGTTGGGATATGTACGTACGGTCACTGTGGGGACGACGTCGTCAATGCACTTATTGATGAAGCCGGTGACTGAGGTGGGATACTCCTCAATGCCATTGGATGAATCACGGAACATATTCCATTCTGTGCTAGCAAAACAGTCCTGCAGCGTAGCATCCGCGTTATCTGACCACTTCCGTATTGAGCGAGTCACAGGTACTTCCTGCTTTAGTTTTTGCTTGTAAGCAGGAATCAAGAGGATAGCATTATGGTCAGATTTGCCAAATGGAGGGTGAGGGAGAGCTTTGTGTGCGTCTCTGTGTGTGGAGTAAAGGTGGTCCAGAGTTTATTTTCCTCTGGTTCCACATGTGACATGCTGGTAGAAATGAGGTAAAATGGATTTAAGTTTGCCTGCATTAAAGTCCCCTGCCACTAGGAGCGCCGCTTCTGTATGAGCATTTTCTTGTTTGCTTATGGCCTTATACAGCTCGTTGAGTTCGGTGTTAGTGCAAGCATCAGTTTGAATAGACGGCTACGAAAATTATAGATGAAAACTCTCTTGGTAGATTATGTTGTCTACAGCTTTCCTCAGGCGAGCAATACCTAGAGACTTCCTTAATATTAGACATCGCGCGCTGTTATTGACAAATAGACACACACCACCACACCTCGTCTTATCGGACGTAGCTGTTCTGTGCTACCGATGCATGGAAAACCCAACCAACTGTATATTATCTGTGTCGTCGTTTAGCCACGACTCGGTGAAACATAAGATATTACAGTTTTTAATGTCCCGTTGGTAGGATAGTCTCGAACGGAGCTCATCCAGTTTATGCACGTTGGCCAATAGAACGGATGGTAGAGGCAGGTTACCCCCTCACCGACGAATTCTCACACGGCACCCCGATCTCCGCGCCCTGTACCTCCGTCTTTTCTTCACGTGAATGACAGGGATTTGGGCCTGGTCTCGGAGAAACAGTATATAATTTGCGTCGGACTCATTAAAGAAAAAATCTGCAAACTGCTCACTCATAAGACACCATACATGTGGTATGCGGTTGTGAGGCCGGCTGGACGTACGGACAAATTCTTTAAAATTACGTTGGAGTTGGCTGATGGTAGAGAAATGAACATTAAATTATCTGGCAATATCTCTGGTGGACATTCCTGCACTCAGCATGCCAACTGCATGCTCCCTCAAAACTTGAGACATCTGTAGCATTGTGTTGTGTTACAAAACTGCACATTTTAGAGTGGCCTTTTATTGTCCGCAGCACAAGGTGCACCTGTGTAATGACCATGCTGTTAATCAACTTCTTGATATGCCAAACCTCTCAGGTGGATGGATTATCTTGGCAAAGGAGAAATGCTCACTAACAGAGATGTAAATAAATTTGTGCACAAAATTTGATAGAAATAAGCTTTTTGTGTGTATGGAACATTTCTGGGCTCTTTTATTTCAGCTCATGAGACATGGGACCAAGACTTTACATGTTGCATTTATATTTTTGTTCAGTGTAATACACCCTATCAGTTTATAAAGAATTTAGCTAGTGTTTCTACATAACAGTATTCTCTCTTGAATAGAGATCCTGGAGTGTCCCAGCCGTACCCTGCCTTGGCTATATGTCTGCGCTCTAAATCAACAAAGGTAGGCATAAAGTTATTGTTTAAAAATATGTATGATTGGTACTGGCAGCTAAACTTAGCAACACTAAATAGACAATTTAACTATACATGCCACAATTCCAGACGTAACAATGCACAAACAGTATTTTCTGGCAATTTATCTAATTAGCATAATACAAAAATCCCCTTAAATTTGTCAGTTTAAGCATTGGATGCCACTCAATCCACCACATCCGCCCATGTCGCACTTCGTTTGTCTGACGATGAGATGGTCTTCTCACAAAATTGTCTGTAGCGTTCAAACTATTATGATGAGACTCCCACGAACACAATGGTGTTCTCTGTTTTGCTCTACGACCCCCACAAGCGTCTTGGGACTCATCTGATTGTCCTTGTCGGTATTAGATAGAACACCCACTTGTGGGGAAAACATCCTGTGGTTACCTAAGTTACCCCATTGGCTCACAGCAAAAACATGACCCCATTCAAACGCAATTTTCTTGTTGTCTGCTTGTTCTAGTGAATTACAAAACTACATTTAAGAAAAGTACATGTCTAAAGATTACAGCTCCAGAGCGTTCTCACTACTTAGAAAAACGTAATATTGTAGGGCCGCTTTTCATAACAGTGCAAGCAGCCACTTGAGTGCTAGCTAGCTACCGACCGGAACATTAAGCCAGCCAAGACCAACAACACAAACAAATAGACTACACAGATGCAAGTAGTGAGTGGACTTACAAATGGAATATACTAACAAGTTAAATGTCTTATTTGTGATTAAATGTTTTCCACACACATAGCTACTTGTAGCCTACTTGGACACTGTGTCCCCACATTTCACACTCCCATGCCAAATAGCCTGAAGCCACATAGCTCTTCTCCCAGGCTCTATTTCCCTACTTCCCTACTTGGGAGCGTTGCGATCCTTAGGTCTGGATTTTTGACCTTGTTACATGTACATTGAACAACACAGCAGCTTTTGGCATGTTTTGTTTTTCTGTAAAACAAAATCGACGAAGTTGGCTTTGGAGTGGTGGTAAATTGGAAAGAATGTTTGTTTTCCCCAATCTGTGGGCGTGGTCGAGGGAATTCCTTATTATTATATGAATATCGACTTGGAGTGTTGTGTGACGATATGCTTAACAACCGCGTGACGCAACGTGATAACGTAAACGCGATTGGTCGACAGTCTGCTGGGTAGTAAATGTCCATTGGGATTTCTATCTCCTCCTTTCTGTAATATCTCTGGCCTTTACCACTCAAACGCTCCCTGTGCCAAAACATGGCTTGCGTTTAAGGAGGTGCATCCCGGGATATGTAGTCAGTAATTTAGCAACATACCTCCAATTCCGAATACTTTACCCATCAAAACACAACAAGGACCATGATGCTGCTCGAAATTGCGCATGGGATATCGCAGACAGCCGATAACTCATCTATTATGCTACTTCGCTGAAATAAAAAGGTACCAGAAAACTGCGAGCGAGCAACCACTGGAGCCACTTGAGAAAGTAATAAAGTAAAATATGTACTTTTTTTTTTCTTCCTGATTTGTGTAATTTAAAGGATGGGATGTATATCGAAGTGTTTTTCAAATACACTCAATCTATAGGTTGCTTTCTGAGTCAGCCTGCCCGCTCGGCGCCTTGATTGAAACAATGCATACAAAGCTTAGTTAGCGAGGATTTGTCAGGCTAGTAGTTAACCTTAGCTAACGCTACATTTGTCGTATGCGAAGTTGAAATGGTAACCTAGTTATCTATTCATTATTTTCAGCGCTTCTACAACGCACTGCTCAGCATTTTAGTTGTACTTCAGGTGAACTAGTGTGTAAGTTAGCTCTTTGCATTGCGTGCACATTTAGCATTTTGCCGATTGAGAGGCTAGTTACTGTAGCGAATAGCTAGCATTGCATTCCCCTGCCCGCCATCTTTTTAAAGGAATAGATGTGATGCACAATCATCAGATGCACCCAGTCGCTAAATTGTAAATAGCTGCTATTTCGTGAGATAAAGGGTGTACTCTCAGTCGAGTAACTAGCTAATCTGTCTACGTTTAGCCATATGGATTTTTAATTGCTAAGCGTGGCATATTTTGGCGTAGTTATAAAAAAAATAAATGCTTTTGTGAATGTTGATCTCTGCACCATTGCTGTTGCCCAGCGAAATGCTCACTTCTTTGCCCATGTTACGAATTCTAAGTGGTATGTGTACGCTATATTACTTTGGCTACATGTAATGTGTACACAGTTTAGATTATTTTAATTTAGCTACCACTCCATAACTCAGTCATTCTCATAAAATACTAGCCCAATTGACTCGAGATGTAACTTTACTGTCTGTGAGGATGGCAGCTGAAGGTCTCATATTTTCTGAACAACACTTCTCCTTTAATTTTCTAATTCCAATATTTGACTATTTTGTTTGGCAGGGCACATACACTCAGGTGGTGATGGGATGTGTGTACTGCTGGAGGAATAATGAGCTGAAAGGGGAGCAAAGTATCCATTGAAAACACTAGACTCAGACGTTTTGTAGAACAGGGAAGAAGAGCTCTCCTGTTGCCAGTATGTCGGCTGTTCCTGCGGCTGCCCCGGCACTTGTCAATCCCTCGCCACCAGAGTTCACCAACCTCAACAAGCCTGGCCGGAAAACAAACCAACTACAGTACATGCAGAACGTTGTGGTGAAGACTCTATGGAAGCATCAGTTTGCGTGGCCCTTTTACACACCTGTGGATGCCATCAAATTATGTCTTGCCGTAAGTCCAGTCCACACTCAGTAGTTTTCTCTCTGTTATTGGTAGTCAGTAATTCGTTCTAAAAGCAGAGCCTTAAAGCTAGAATCCTTCATTGAAACAATAACAAAGTGGGGACCCCGCCTCTGTTTTTATTAAAATCTGAGGGATGGACCTGGAGAAACGTAACCACTCTCAAATCCATAGACTGAGCTATGGATTCAAGGACTGACCATCCATGATATCAAATGCATAGTTTTAACCATGTTTTGAGGCTACAATGTTTGTTTACATTTATGTTTAACAAACATTGGAGTAAAATAAGCTTATATATTGGGTTCTGATGGGGTATGACAGTTGAAATAAGCTCATGAGACATTTATAAGTTATATTGTCCAATAATCAATGAGGTATATGTCATTAGTCATTAATTACGTCTAAAATTGATCTAGCAACTAAGGATTATAGCTTTAACAATATTTGGCTCTGGGTAGAAGTAGGCTGTTGCATTTTAATATAAACACTGTGTGGATGTGTGTACATTTAGGTGTGGTTCCTAACTAACCCTAACCCCTCATTGAACAATCATAATCTTAAAATGTTTTCTTTATTTCCTGGCTGTTATTTTATTGCTCATTCATAGTGAATGCTACTTTCCTCTTGATGCTGTCATACAGGACTATCATAAAGTTATCAAGAGCCCAATGGACATGGGAACAATAAAGAAGAGGCTAGAGAATAACTACTACTGGAGCGCCAGCGAGTGCATGCAGGACTTCAATACCATGTTTACCAACTGTTATATCTACAACAAGGTAAATTCTCCATTGCCATTCATAAAAATCTAGATGCGAAAAACAATAAGGTCTGCACTCAACAAGTAGTTCAAAGAGCTTACTTTAGCTGTTTTTTCACTGGATCTCATACAGATGGTTACACACAGATGGATGTATTTACACTTCCTCTACTCTTGTCTAGAGGTGCCCCATCACCTCTGTAGGCATTGTTGATAGCTGTGATGAGTTTGATCAAGCGAACCATCTGACCATGTTCACCTTCATCTTGACCCATAACTCATCCTTTCTTGTGTTCCCACAGCCTACAGATGACATTGTTCTGATGGCCCAAGCTCTAGAGAAGATATTCTTACAGAAAGTGGCCCAAATGCCTCAGGAGGAGGTGGAGCTGCTACCACCGGCCCCCAAAGTCAAAGCAGCCCGCAAACCAGGAGCGCCCGTTAGTGCAGGTAAGTCCAGCCTTTCACAGTTGGGAGGGACTCATGCACTGAGGAAATGTCTGTCATTTACAAATTTTTGCTTCCCTCATCTTTCTTACAGAGAGCCAAGCACAGGGTGAGTCGACGGATTCACCCCCATCTTCTTACCCCAGCTCCCCTCCACTGCTGTCTCAGACTCCTGTCATAGCAGCCACGCCAGTGCCAACCGTTACATCTGTTACCCCTGTCCAAGCTGTGCCTACCACTGCCTCCATGATGGCTGTGGTTCCCACGGCACAGCCAGTCATCAAAGTAAGTCCAGAGAGACAGGCCGCTCTAGGGGTTCTTTTTATTTAGTTCTACAGTCTAACGGGGGATTCTTGTGGGGAGCGTATTTTACAATTCTACTCCTCAAAATGTTGTCTAAGGATATAATCTATTAGAAATCTGAGAAAAATGTTAAAATACCATATCTTGGTAAAAAGAAACAGGCCACTGATATATTTGCACTTGGCCATTGTCATTTCCACAGAAAAAGGGGGTCAAGCGGAAAGCAGACACAACAACTCCCACCACCTCAGCAATCTCGGCCAGTAGAAGTGACTCCCCTACCCAGCTCCTGGAATCCAAACAGGAGACTGTCTCGTCCAGGCGGGAGAGCACAGTGCGGTTCGTCAAGCCCCCCAAGAAGGACACAGAGGATGGAGAGGCGCCTCTGCTCGGTGGCAAGAAAGGCAAGCTCGGCGAGCAGCTGAAGCACTGCGACGTCATCCTGAAGGAGATGCTGTCCAAGAAGTATGCGGCCTACGCTTGGCCTTTCTACAAGCCTGTAGACGCAGAAGCGCTTGAACTGCATGACTACCATGAGATAATCAAGCACCCCATGGACCTGAGCACTGTCAAAGTAGGTTACCTATTCACTCCCTTCGACTCACTCCTAACTCTTCTAAATTACCCTCCAAGCATGGCTGTTTACTTGGTGGAGAGAGTGTTTTTATTTGGTGGTTAAGAATAGTTCAAATGGAACTATCCCTCAACAACAGTCGACACCATCACTGCTAAGGGGAGGACAGTTACATGTTTTGCTAATATATTTGTTTAGCGATTTATAGTGATAGCTATCTCAGTAATAAGGCTCTGACTGTTTGCTCTGTATCCACAGAAGAAAATGGACAGTCGAGATTACCAAGATGCCCAAAGCTTTGCGACAGACGTCCGGTTAATGTTCTCAAATTGCTACAAGTACAACCCCCCCGACCACGAGGTTGTAGCCATGGCCAGGAAGCTCCAGGTAGGATAAGATTAATCAGATATCCACATCACCTCATTGGAGGGCTGTCGGTTGAACTGCCCCTTGTCTTCTTGTGTTTCTCAGGATGTGTTTGAGATGCGATTTGCCAAGATGCCAGACGAGCCCATTGAAGCCATCCAGCCCTCCACCACGCCGGTGGTAAGCAAGAGTACAGAGAGCAGTGAGAGCAGCGGCAACACCTCCAGTTCGGAGAGCTCCGACTCAGAGGATGAGCGGGCCACGCGGCTCGCCGAACTGCAGGAACAGGTGGGTTCGGAACAGGTGGGTTCTCACAACCAAGGACCAAGATCCAAAACCCATGGATGGATGAACAGGGAGATGCCCCCCCTTCATCCCCCACTTCAGATTTTAGACCGCTACCACTTCAAAATCAAAGCCGCTCCACGATGTTCAGAGATGATTTTCAGCCAGCCATCCAGAGTAAAAGTGACATAGTTAGCCCTCTACCGCCACAAATGCTGCTATAAACTGTTAGAATAACTTGGTATTATGGCTTGCATGCTGAAAATGTAGAGCTCACATTTAGAGCAATGTTTTACATTTCATTCATACCAATGGTGACAGTATTTAGCTGTAATGAATAGTTTGTTGTGCTGCTAGGATGTTAACATGATCTTTGGAGTTTTCTATCTTTGTCCCCTGATTTCCCCTTTGGCTTTCTTACCAGCAAATCACTGTGGAGCACCCCAATGGTAACAGGGCGGGGGGAAAAAACGGGTGTGCCAAACGTTTTCAGGTGATTTATCTCTTACTTCCCCGTCCCCACAAAAACAATTTTATTTTATTTTTTGTATTACACCTTGTTGAAAGAGCGGTAGAGGGTTACAGGTGGGGATCAGAACTCTTAAACAGGTTGTAAGTGTGCTAGAGGGCTTTCCTCAGTAGTCAGCTTGCTCTTTGACATGTAGACCTGGATAGTCCTTTCTAAGGTTTTTTGTAAGATGCAGGTAGTTACTTTTTCTCCCATTGTCACATTATTTTAGTGGTTTAAAAATGGGTGGTGGTGACAGTGTTTGCTGGTGACGGTAGTGTTAAGTGTTTTTTTGATGATTCTGGCAATGATTTCAAATGCTTTTGTTGCATTTAAGGTTCAGCACAAAAACATTGGTCTTTAACAGTTATTCAACTTGAAAAAAGGAGGAAATACTGAAGACAAGGAAGTGTCAGTGTGAGAGCACTTTGGGAGTCAGCGTTTGCTTATTGTTTTAAAGTGTTCGGTAGATAGCTACAGTACAGGCTGGTGGCCCGGTGTGCTTCTCTGCCAGCTTTTTTCCAGAGGCCAATGGGAAATTATTTAACGAGACGCCGCATTTGCATGCCAGTATAGTACTGTCAATGACTGATCAATCTATTTACACGCACACTCTTGATTGTTTCCTCTATGAATATTCTGAGCTTTCATTTGAGAATATATGTAGAAACATGAGTACTGTATAGTTAATTAATTAAATACAATACATGAATAAGAGAACTTGAGGATGATTTAAGATGCAGCAACCCTTAAAAGCGAAGTAAATCAAGCAAATGCATGTATTGACTAGAAAATGAGACTGCTTCAAAGTCGATGGAAAATAAAACGTTCCTCCCAGGGCAAATATATAACTAGTATAACTGTCATAATTGTGACATAATGGTCCAAGACACAATGGTGCAGATGTTCTGCAACAGGTTACACATGCCTACATTCCACAATAGCTAACTCGATGCCTGTATTTTGCCATCACTTCCAGTATCTTGTCCCAGTCTCTGCAGCAGCTTCACCCTATATAAACCAACATCTGGGCTCATAGGTGACTCTTTATTCCACTTCTCTCCTCAGCTGAAGGCCGTTCACGAGCAGCTGGCTGTTCTGTCGCAGGCCCCAGTAAGTAAACCAAAGAAAACGGAGAAAAAGCAAAAAGATAAGAAGAAGGACAAAGACAAAGCCAACAAGGGGAAGGCTGATGACGAGAAGAAGCCCAAGTCGACACAGCAAGCCAAGCCAGCTAATCCGAAGAAGGCTCCAGCCCGGAAACCAAACCGCACGGTGGCGGCTACCAGGTACTACTGCCCAGTCTTATCATACAGTGCCTTGAGAAAGTATTCACACGCCTTGACTTTTTCCCCAAAAAATTGTGTTACAGCCTGAATTTAAAATGGATTAAATTTAGATTTTGTGCCACTGGCCTACACACAATACCCCAAAATGTGAAAGTGGAATTATGTTTTTAGAAATGTTTACAAATTAATTAAAAATGATAAGCTGAAATGTCTTGAGTCAATAATTATTTAACTCCTTTGTTATGGCAAGCATAAATAGGTTCAGGAGTAAAAATTAACTCTGTGTGCAATAATAGTGTTTAACAAGATTTTTTCATCTCTGTACCCCACACATACAGTTATCTGTAAGGTCCCTCAGTCGCGGAGTGAATTTCAAACACCGATTTAACCACAAAGACCAATGCCTCGCAAAGAAGGGCACCTATTGGTAGATGGGTAAAGATGTAAAAAGCAGACAATGAAAATCCCTTTGAGCATGGTGAAGTGAATTACACTTTTGATGGTGTTTCAAAACACCCAGTCACTACAAAGATACAGGCGTCCTTCTTAACTCAGTTACCGGAGAAGAAGGAAGCCGCTCAGGGATTTCACCATGAGGCCAATGGTGACTTTAAAACAGTTACGGAGTTTAATGGCTGTGATAGGAGAAAACTGAGGATGGATCAACAACATTGTAGTTACTCCAGAATAATAACCTAAAATGACAAAGTGAAAAGAAGGAAACCTGTGCAGAATAATAAATATTCCAAAACATGCATCCTGTTTGTAATAAGGCACTAAAGTAAAACTGGCAAAAAAAACTGGCAAAGAAATTAACTTTATGTCCTGAATACAAAGCGTTATGTTCGGGGCCAACACAACACATCACTGAGTACCACACTTCATATTTCCAAGCATGGTAGTGGCTGCATTATGTAATGGGTATGAAGAATCAAATTGTATTTGCCGCATGCACCGAATACAACAGGTGTACACCTTACAGTGAAATGATTACTTACAAGCCCTTAACCAACAATGCAGTTTTAAGAAAAATATGTTGAGTAAAAAATAGATAAGTAAAATAAAATAATAAAGAGCAGCAGTAAAATAAAATAACAGTAGCGAGGCTATATACAGGGGGTACCGGTACAGAGTCAATGTACGTGGGCACAGGTTAGTCAAGGTAATTTAGGTAATATGTACATGTGGGTAGAGTTAAAGTGACTATGCATAAATAATAAACAGAGAGTAGCAGCAGCGTAAAAGAGGGGGTGTGGTGGGGATGATTGTCATCGGCAAGGACTAGGGAGTTTTTTGGGGGATAAAAATAAACGGAATAGAGCTAAGCACAGGCAAGATCCTCGAGGAAAACCTGGTTCAGTCTGCTTTCCAACAGACACTGGGATACATTCACCTTTCAGCAGGACAATAACCTATAACACAAGGCCAAATATACACTGGAGTTGCTTACCAAGACGACATTGAATATTCCTGAGTGGCCTAGTTAGTTTTGACTTAAATCGGCTTAAATCTCTGGCAAGACTTGAAAATGGCTGTCTAGCAATGATCAACAACCAACTTGACAGAGCATGAAGAATTTTGAAAATAATAATATACAAATATTGTACAATCCAGGTGTGCAAAGCTCTTGTAGACTTACCCAGAAAGACTCACAGCTGTAATCGCTGCCAAAGGTAATTCTACCATGTATCGACTCTGGTGTGTATACTTATGTAAATGAGATTTCTGTATTTCATTTTCAATACATTTGCTACAAATTCTAAAAACATGGTTTCACTTTATCATTATGCGGCATTGTGTGTAAATAATATTTAATACATTTTGAATTCAGGCTGTAACACAAGAAAATGTGGAATAAGTCAAGGGGTATGAATACTATCTGAAGGCACTGTATCCGTTTCATAATTCATCAAAATTAATTTGCTTAAAACTGCTGGTAACTTGATCTTTTGGATGAATCATCGTTACCCATGCCACTTGTTGTAATAGTGTGATGCACTGCTGTGTTACACTTTGACTCGTATCCCCTTGTAGCCTGATCCAGACCTGTCAGTCTGTCACAAATCATCTGTACTTTACATTTTTCTCAGTGCTAATCTGAGCATCCTGAGAGAGGCAAAACCTGTAGGCCTAACAAAGATCTGACCAAAACATTTTCAGGCAACCGAAGAAAGGGTCCAAGGTGGCGGCGGCAAACAACGAGTCTGAAGAGGAGCCGTCCCTTCCCATGTCATACGACGAGAAGCGCCAGCTCAGCCTGGACATCAACCGTCTTCCGGGTGAGAAGTTGGGCAGGGTGGTCCACATCATCCAGTCCCGGGAGCCGTCGCTGCGTGACTCCAATCCGGACGAGATAGAGATAGACTTTGAGACACTCAAGCCCTCTACCCTTCGTGAGCTCGAACGATACGTCAAGTCCTGTTTGCAAAAAAAGCAGCGGAAACTTTTACGTAAGTTGTGAGCTATTACTCTTGTTGTTTTTACAGATGCCCTTCTCCAGTCACTAATGATTACCTGGTTCTTCAGGGGTAAACCTCTCTTTTCTCTGCCTGTTGACTAAATGCTCTCAAGCTCCCTTGCGTTTGTTCCACCCCTTTTGAACGCTGAGGTTACTCACCCTCCCACCCTTTGTGCATTTGGTATTTTGTATTTTATTAGGATCCCCATTAGCTGTTACGAAAGCATCAGCTATTCTTCCTGGGGTCCACACGAAACATAAAACATGACATATTACAGAACATTAATAGACAACTAAAGCACGAGGACAGAACTACATGAATTTAGAAACGGCACACACGGCCTTCATATCAATACATACACACAAAATATCTAGGTGAAATAGGGGAGAGGCGTTGTGCCGTGAATTAGTGGTGCACGGGTCAACTGTTCACCCGCCCGCAATTGCTAATAACCCATCCGCAACCAAATTTGATTTGTCACATGCACGTGTTTAGCAGATGTTATTGCGGGTGTAGTGAAATGCTTGTGGTTTTAGCTCCGACTGTGCAGTAATATTTTCAACAATTTCACAACATATACCCAATACACACAAATCAAAGTAAGGAATGGAATTTAAGAATATGTGGTAAAGTGAAAATCTGTGGCCCGCACCCAACCCTAACCTAAATAAAGAAAACGCGCTATAGGCTACAGTCAAAGACTGCCAAACAATTTTTTTTGACGGGGGAGAAGGATTTTCTTTTGCCTTATTTAGATATGTTTCTGCTTATAATATCCAATATTTTGGTAGGCTATTTGTTAGTCAACTTAATAATTAAATACATGTAGCTTCTCTTTTGTCATATGTTCCCCTAGAAGACTAAATAAACCCTTGCTTAACAGAATAATGTAATAGCTTGATAGAATGAATGCTTCAATCTAGTTGACATCGGGAAAGTTTTCTGTCATCTTTCGCGGAGCAAAGACGTTTAGGGACTGGGGAGAAAATACAATGCAATATATATTTATTTTTTTACGGGTAAGACTTGATGTGCAAAATGTCCAAATTACATCAGTTTGACCAATTTGTAAGGAAAAAGAATGCTGTGAAAACGACCCAACATGTTTCTGCTAAGATTTCAGTTTGGCTTCGATGCATATTTTATGTGGTTGAAATCAGTGGTGGAAAAAGTACCCAATCGTCATACTTGATTAAAAGTAAAGATACCTTAATAGAAAATGACTCAAGTAAAAGTTGAAAGACAGCCAGTAAAATTCTACTTGAGTAAAAGTCTAAAAGTATTTGATTTTAAATATACTTAAGTATCAAAAGTAAAAGTATAAATCATTTAAAATTCCTTATTAAGCAAACCAGACAGCACCATTTTCTTGTTTTTCATTTATTTACAGATAGCCAGGGGAACACTCCAACCCTCAGACATCATTTACAAACAAAGCATGTGTGCTATGAGTCTGCCAGATCAGAGGCAATAGGGTTGACCAGGGACGTTCTCTTGAGAAGTGTGTGAATTTGACCATTTTCCTGTCCTGCTAAGCATTCATAATGTAAATACTACTTTTGGGTGTCAGGCAAAATGTATGGGTTGAAAAGTACATTATTTTCTTTAGGAATGTAGTGAAGTAAAAGTTGTCCAAATTATAAATAGTAAAGTAAAGTACAGATACCCCAAAAAACTACTTAAGTAGTACTTTAATGTATTTTTACATAAGTACTTTACGCCACTGGTTAAAATACTATCAGCTTTTATGATGAAGACAGCACCTCTAAAGATCGTATCTAACTGAGCATAGCATTCTCTCAAGATGCAGAAAGAAATCATATATCTCCACTCCTGTTCCCAAGTACATTTGGTGTATCATTTTACTGCAAGAAATGCTTAGTTCTGCAGGAGTTATTAGTAAGGCTATAGCCCTATTTGCATGGGACTAGTTGGTTATGTATTTATGGACAGGATACGTTTTTTCCAAATAGCCCCCTGTAATTTATTTTTAAATCTAAATTGACAGTTATGATGGAAGCCTGGAGGTTTTTTCTAGGTGTGAAGATATTTCAAGAAGTCCAGGCGATAACAGGATACACTGATAACTCGAGCTTGGTTCCCAAGTTTCTAAACCATGCCAAACCATCTTTGGTAAATGGTTGCCGTAATATTTCAATTGAGGAAGTGTGATCATAATCATTAGGTTATTTTAGCGATCCGCAGTAGAAGATGTCCTAAATGCCCCCCAAGCCTTCAGATGTGAGCTAAACAGCTAACTTGCACTTGATATGTGTTTTTAGGCTATGGATGAGAAAGTGAACTTGTTCCAAACGTTTAGCTCTGTTGTATGCTGCTTTGCGATCTATTAACAGCAAGGGTCACATTAAATAGGCGCAATATTTTTTTAGTGATGCATTTGGCGGTGTTCAATTCATTCGCACAAAATGTATAAACAAAAGCATTCACTGTGGAAGTTGATACATGTTGGCCCTTCATATATAGGCTATGCGCAGCACTTAGTTCAATTTATCGAATCAGTTATTGTTTTCTTGCTCAAAACGGGAGCAACACCTGTCAAACTCAGACATTTCTCTCAAAACACAAGGATGTCGATTCGCACGGACCTAGTATTATCAGAGGACTTTGGAGTTTGCCAAAAAACAGTACGTTATTCTGGTTAGTCGTCCAGAATTTGTATAGCGCCTCACAATCATCACACGTAACGTAGCCGGCACTGCTATCATCCTCTTTTACCACTTCACCAAATCTTTTCCAAACATTACTTTTCTGGCCCTCCCTTCTATTTATTTTCAACTCTCCTTTCGCAGCTTTTGTCTTATTGAATTCAACTTCGACAATGTCCTTTTTGCCTCCGTGGATTGTTAACTTTTTCTGCCCGTTCCCAAAATTGGCTGTGTAGGCAATTTGGTGCTTGTAGAGTTAAGCCCTAAAGCGTAGGTTAATGCACTAATACAAGATAGCCTAAAATAGTGAAAGAAAAACCTCAATGTAGACTATATAAATTGCACAATAATTATACATTCATGGATTTTTTTAAGGTGTTGTTTCTCGTTTTTCAACACGCCCGCCGCCCATTAGCCACATTATTTAATGACCCTAAACTCGTCCGCCCCACAGATATAGCCCCGGGGACTGCAGGTTATGAGTCAACCCATGCATCACAACCGTGAGGAGTTGCTTGATCTGTTTTTTGAAACCAGGTTTGCTGTTCATTTGAGCAATATGAGATGGGAGTTCCATGCAATCATGGCTCTATATAATACTGTAAGCTTTCTTAAATCTGTTTTGGGGACTGTGAAAAGACCCCTGGTGGCATGTCTGGTGGGGTAAGTGTGTGTGTCAGAGCTGTGTGTAAGTTGGCTATGCAAACAATTTGGAATTTTCCACACATTTAATGTTTCTTATAAAAAGAAGTGATGCAGTCAGTCTCTCCTCAACTCTTAGCCAAGAGAGACTGGCATGCATAGTATTTATATTAGCCCTCTGATTACAATGAAGAGCAAGGCCGTTTGGACATACTGCTAAATTCTCTAAAACGACGTAGTAGAGAAATGAAGATACAATTATCTGGGAAAAAGCTCTGGTGGATATTCCTGCAGTCAGCATGCCAATTGCACGCTCCCTCAAAACTTGAAACATCTGTGGCATTGTGTTGTGACAAAACTGCACATTTTAGTGGCCTTTTTCATCCCCAGCACAAGGTGCACCTGTGTAATGATCATGCTGTTTAATCAACTTCTTGATATGCCACACCTGTCAGGTGGATGGATTATCTTGGCAAAGGAGAAATGCTCACTAACAGGGATGTAAACAAATTTGTGCACAACATTTGACAGAAATAAGCTTTTTGTGCGTATGGAAAATGTCTGTGATCTTTTATTTCAGCTCATGAAACATGGGACCAACACTTAACATGTTGCGTTTATATTTTTGTTCAGTGTATATGTTTTGACAATGACAGTTTACGATCTAAGGTAACACCAATAATTTAGTCTCCTCAACTTGTTTATCAGCCACACCATTCATTACCAGATTCAGCTGAGGTATAGAACTTAGGGAATGATTTGTACCAAATACATTGCTCTTAGTTTTAGAGATGTTCAGGACCAGCTTATTACTGGCCACCCCTTTCCAAAACTGACTGCAAGTCCTTGCTAAGAGCTTCCTCTAGACTCAGATTAAAGATATGACAGATCGGAGTGGCCATAGTCAGCAACCATCCGCAGTAGCGTTCCATCTAAGTTGTCAATGCCAGTTTTGTCATTATTGAGTGATAACAATAATTTTCCATCTCTCCCACATTTAACTTTACAAAACTCTAACTTATAATGCCTTTCTTTCATTATTTGTTTTTTATGCATGAATACGATGGCTCACTGTTTCGTTGTTGGCATTTCCTTCCTAAGTTTGCCCACTTTGCCAATAAAGTAATCATGAAAATAATTGGCAACATCAAATGGTTTTGTGATGAATAAGCCATCTGATTCAATGAAAGATGGAGTTGAATTGGTCTTTCTGCCCATAATTTCATTTCTTTATATCATTGATCTTGGCTTCATAATACAGTTTCTTCTTCTTTTTGTTGAGTTTAGTCACATAATTTTCCAATTTGCGGTAAATCAGCCAGTCATATGTGCAGCCTGACTTACTAGCCACTCTTTTTGCCCCATCTCTTTCAACCATACAGTTTTTAAATTCCTCATCAATCCATGGAGCCTTAACAGACCTAACAGTCAGTTTCTTAACAGGTGCATGTTTATCAATAATTGGGAGACACAATTTCATAAATTAATCAAGTGCAGCGTCCGGATGCTCCTTCTTAATCACGTCAGACCAACAAATATCCTTAACATCATCCACATACGTCACAGCAAAATCTGTTGTATGATCTCATACACTATTTTAGGCCCAGCTTTTGGAACTTTGGCTCTCCTAGGTATAGCCACCGTGATCACTGCATCCAATGGGTACAGATATAGTTTTAGAACAAAGTTCTACA